TAAATGGGATTGGCTTGAGTAAGGATTGAATAGAAGGGAACTGGCTTTAGTCCTTTACAGAAAGCATTTGCTGACCCCTGATAGCTTCTGAACCTAAAACTCTCCATGGAGTAACGTTCTTGCACATGAGGTAAGGGACCAGGATGGTCCTGCTTGCATCTCTGTTCGGCACCCTCAGGACTACACAATCACTGAGACACATTTTGTTCTAATTTACACAGGTGTGGGCATCTCAGCCCCTGTTTTACTCACAGAAATGTCTTGTCAAATGCTCCACTATGCTATTACCTGACAGACCCAATTTTTCTCTTGATGGTGTTCGTTGCCAGTAATGGCATAGTTTAGGGAGGCAGGAAACATGAGTCATCAGGATGTGCCGTCTCGTTTGAGGAAGGTCACTTTAGAGAAGCAGTGATGACCTTTTCTTCAGATGGATCTTGTTTCTGTAAAACAGAACATTTGGGCTCAAGTTCAATGAGCTGAAGAAGGAATCCCATAATCCTTTTGGCCCTGCTTCTTTTCATCTTCCCCATGTCTTCTAGGTGTTTCCCATGTTCTTCTCTTTTCTAGAGCTTCTGGGTGTCACAGATGGTTTAGTTGGCACGTTAAGCTCACCCAGAGCTGCCCTGAGAGAAAAGTCTGGAAGTTTGTTTCTGAGAAGTCATGGCTATGAACCAGATGGAGCATGATCTTCTCCAACACCTGACGTCCTCATGAGTCATGTGACAGCAGTGGGTTTATGCTTGTCTTCTCGTTCTACCTTCTCTGCCCCAGTCTCCTTCACTCCATGTGTTCTCTTGTCTCTTCTCTGAAGAGACCTTACTCTGAAGATGACTTCATTAGCCTTTTGTAGATATGATCAACTTAAGGGCAGCAGCTGCTTGGTTGTAGTTATCTGAACTCCTGACACCAGGGTGGTCTTTCTTCTGTTAACTTCATTTACTTTATAGTTCTGCTAGGGGTTTTCCTTCTCCCACCCCTACCCTAGTATTTGTAGCTGCTCTTAAGATTTTTGTTTTCTTGGATAGCATTTGAAGTTCCTTTTCTCCATTTCTAATAGATTTCTATATTGGCAGGTGCTGCTCAAGGCAATGGACGAACCATTTCTTTGAATTCCTTCTTACCAGAAGCATTTGTGCTCCCTGTCGATATAGAAAAGGTAAGCATTGTCTTCATGTTTTGCTTAACCACAGGGATTCTAAATCTCTTAGATAGTATTGTTCTGATTCCAAGCTAGGACCTTCCCTTTAATGAGGCATGGCAACTACAGTTCATTTCATTTCTGGGTTAGATTGGTTATGGCTGCCAGGAAAATTAAGCTGGGAAGGGTTCTAAGGTAGTGCCTGTGCCCAGCTGGAATGTTTTCCATGATTGATGGGTGATGTCTGCCATGGGCCACCACCAGTCTAAGGTTTTATATCACAGGAAAATCATTGTGGGCTGTTTGCTGGGTTTAGTGAAGAAAATCTTAAGGCTCTGGGAGATGTGGACTATCTGACATGTAATGTTATAATGTTGTTGTTGTTGTAATGTGCCATGGAGTTGGTTCCAACTCACAGCGACCCTGTACAGGGTTTCCGAGGCTGTAAATCTTTATGGGAGCAGAAAGCCTCATCTTTCTCCCATGGAACAGCTGGTAGTTTCAAACTGCTGACCCTGAGGTTCACAGCCCGACTCGTAACCACTAGTATAACTTAGTTAAATGAAAAATAAAAAAACCAAAACTTCAATATTCAGGTTTATATATACCCCTCAATGAAAGCTAACTTGTTCTGATAATGAGTTTTTTAACTGATTTTTTTTTTTTCCTTCCTCTTGCAGGAAAATGCCCACTTTTATGTTGCAGATATGATTATATCAGCAATGGAGAAAATGAAATGCAAGATCCTTAGTCAGTGGCAGACAGAGAACTGGAGTGTAGATGAGGCCAGGGGCTCACTTGGGGAAGATCAGGTTGACGCAGCAGTGACCTTTGATGCTGGAGTAAAGCAAGAATCTGTGTCTTCCACTTCTCCAGACAGTGGCTGCGAAGGCAAGTTGGGCAAATGAAGGAAGGCTTGTGACTTATCCTGCACACACATCCCCTCTCCCCTGTCAAATCCTGAAGCATATCTTTCAAGTCTTTTTCAAAAACTTGTTGCGTAATCTGTGGGTTCCTCAGCATTGCGGCCAATTTGAGTTGAGATTGATGTTCATGCTTCATTCACTTACCAAATCCCGTATATATATTTAAATTTTAAGCTTTATCTTTTCTTTCTTTTTTTTCATGGACTGTTTTGCTCCTTATGACATACAGCTTTTTCTTACATATTGTCTCCCCCACTCCAAGTATTCCTCTTTCGTTCATTCATTGAACAATGGTGTCAGGTAGTGAGGACAGCCATCTACTTGAGCTGTTCCTTCCTTCAAGGAGCTTACTAGATGGAGAATGTGACCAACTAATCAGTGTGGGACAACTTGGACAACAGAGTTGGTACCCAGAGCAGTGGGGTCCCTGGGTGGTGTAGACAGTTAACGAGTTCACTCAGAGGCACCATGGAGGAGAAGGCTGATGATGTACCTCTGAAAAAGCAGTCATTGAAAACCTTATGGCCCATAGTTCTACTTTGACACACACTGGGTCACCATGAGTCTGCGTGGACTCTCCATGACAACTGGTTCTGGTATCAGAGCAGCGGGTCATAGAACAGGAACAGCGTGCTGTTCTCTAAGTTGAGAATTGCAATTAGGATTTGTCCTCTTCTTACCCTTTGCTAACTGTGGGTCCTACCTTCAGTCTATCTTCTTCTTTTCCTCCATTCACTTCACATTCTGGGAGATTGAATCCACAGCATCCTCAGTTGATAGCTCCCAGGTCTCTGTTTTTAGTCACACTCCTCTTCTAAATACTGGCTTGATATTCCTAGAACCTGCTAAACATCTTTACCAAATCCTCTAACTTACAGTGTCTAAACCAAAGTCATCACTCTGTCACTCTCTCACAATCCCTTCTCTTCAAAATGATTAAAAAGTGACACTTGCTTTGCTTTTTGTCTTCCTTTCCCTAGCATTTTACTCAGGAATCTGACTAGTAGAAGAAGAACTTTGCCTATGACTCCGAATACAATGGCTAGCACAGAATAGGCGCACAATAAATATTTGTTGAACGTGTTAACTGGCTCCAATGTTCAGGGATATTTTAAGGAGATGGAGAAATCTCATTAAACCCAGTGAGTGGAGGGTGGTAGAGCCAGACCGTCTAACAACTGACCATTACAGAAGCAACAACTTGTCTGTCTTCTCTGGGACTTGTGAGCGCTCACCTCTTCCCACCATCACACAGCCATTTCATTCTCCTTTTTCTGCAGGAGACTTTCCTCTGCCTGTTCCTAGCCAGTGCCTTCAGCTCTGGGGACCCCAACCTCAGCTAGGCCTTCCCTGCTCTACTCAGTCTGTGAGATGCCAAACCTGGGGGCCCTGACTTGGTTGGGTGTCCCGGTTGATAGTTCATTGTGGACAGGGGCTCAGGGGAGCGTATATGGAGGATCACCCCTTTAAGGCTGTTGGTGGGGAGGAAAGGGTTGGGGGAAGGAAAGACATGCTCTGTGTTTTAGGATACCAGGTTTGATCTTTGACTCTGCCTCCTTGTTGCTGTTGTTCCATTGTGTGTGCTTCTAGTTGGTGGACACATCAGCCCTGACTTCTCAGTCATACTCATGACCTGTCCCTTACCTGGACAACTGCACTGACCTTTATCCAGTTATTATATGCAAACTGCATCTAGGTTTTTTGTATATGAGGGAGCTTCAAAAAACTTGGGGAAAAAATGAATTAAAAGATAATAGGAAAAAAAAAAAGGTAATAGAATTTGTCCACACATTTTTTGAAGCCCTCTCGTGTATATGCTGCTGCCGTTATGTGCTGTCGAGTCAGTTCCGACCCATAGTGACCCCGGATACGGTTTCCAAGGCTCCAGGGGTGATGTTGTAGGATCAGCACTGGATTGTGAACTGCAAGATCGGCTGTGCAAACTCACCAACTGCTCCTTGGAAACCCTATACAAGGTCACTTTGAGTCAGAACTGACTCGACACCTCTTAACAACAACAACAACAACAACAAATCTTCAAGCAGAAAGCCTCATCTTTCAGCTGTGTCTGTAGATACAGATTTTTTTTTTCATTTTTAAAAATTGTGGTTAAAAAAATATATATAGATAGATATAGAAACAGGTGCTACCTCAAAGATTTTGTGTATAATTCAGTGACATTAATTTTGCTCATCATGTTGGACAACCATCCCACTGTTTACTTTTGAGTTTTTTTATTACTCTTAAAAAGTATTCTTCACTTCCCCTTCCGTTTGCCCGTGGTAAACACTAATCAGCTTTAGCCTCTATGCATTTGCCAATCCTAGGCTTTTCATTTCAGTAGTTGTTATTAAGTGCTGTCGAGTCCGTTTGGGTTGTGAAATATTTGTCTATGTCCTTTTGACTCCGAATACAGTTCTCAAGCTTCATCCATGTTGTGACATGTACCAGGGCTACATGTCTCTTTCTGACTGACTCATATCCATTGTAAAGAGCTCTGGTAGCATTGTGGTTACGCGACAGGTTGCTAACCTCAAGGTCAGCAGTTTTAAGCTGCCAGCTGCTCCTTGGGAGAAAGATGAACTATTCTGTTCCTGTTAAGATTGACAGCCTCCGAAACCTTATGCAGGGTTGCTGTGAGTTGGAACCAACTCCACAGCACATCGCCACCACCAACCAGTGTCCATTGTGTGAGGGGGGCTTCAAAAAGTTTATGGAGAAGTTGTCTAATTTTTGAAGCCCCTTCGTATGTATAGATCACATTTTGCTTATCCGTTCATCTATTGGTGGAAACTTGGGTTGTGGCCCCCTGTTGCAATGAACATGGCGTGAACGTGTCTGTTTGTGCCCCTGTTTTCCAGTGCATACCAAGAAATGCAATTGTTGGGTTTCAGTGCATATGTGTTGCCTTTCATTTTCTCTCTTTAGTTCATCTTCTTCTCTCTAAGAGCCCTAGTGGCTCAGTAGGTTAAATGTTAAGCTCTTAAGTGCAACGTTGGAGATTTAAACCCGACAGCTGCACTGTGGGAGAATCATGCTTCTGTAAAGATTGGCAGTCCAGAAACCCTGGGAAGCAGTTCTACTCTGTCTTACAGAGTTACTTTGAGTTGGAATAGGTTTTACAATGGTTCCTCATTGAAACCCTAGATAGGGTTTCTGAGACTGTAAAGTTCTATAAGAAGCTGCTGGTGGATTCGAACTGCTGACCTTGTGGTTAGCAGCCCAATGCATAACCCACTACACTACCAAGGCTCCTTAGGCTTGATGGTTGTTGTTGTTGTTACATGCTGTGGAGTCAGTTCCGACCCATAGTGACCCTGCACAGGGTTTCCGAGGCTGTAAATCTTTACGGGAGCAGAAAGCCTCATCTTTCTCCTGTGGAACAGCTAGTAGTTTTGAACTGCTGACCTTGCAGTTCGCAGCCCGATTCATAACCACTATGCTACCAGAGCTCCAGTGGGTGGTTTTCTTTCCTCTGGTCGATCCAAAACACATCTATCTTCCTAGAGTACAACTTCTAGTCCTTTAAAACTGCTGGTTGAGTTTGTTCTGTATTTTACCTTGAACATTTCAGCTGTTATAATTTACCTTCTCTTCTCCTCCCCTGCAGGCATCTCTGACCATTTCCTGTGGGCTTCTGTTAAAATAGCCTTTAAACTTGTTGGCTGACAATTCTCCTAAGCTCGTGCCTCCATCCCTTTGCTTTTGCTAGGC